CAGGTATCTCGCATGTAGCTAACAAAGACCGTATGAGCACAAACAAGTTTAGCTGCCTCCATTCACCGACCTCAAAAGTCACATCAACGCCTCTCGCGCTAAAATTCATCCCGAAAGCTGCCGCGTATCTCACAATGGAATTCTGAGATGACGGCGTATGATAACTCGAACACCCAGCTTGTGTTACCATTTGCCGGCATGGGCAATCCGACTTGCCACCAGCAGGCCAACATAATTTGCTTTCATTTCTCTATGAAATACACAAGCTGCTTGTTTGTACATTTACTTTGGCCAATGCACGGGGCCTCCTGAGACTTGCGGTGTGCCCCGATGAAGCCCGCGGCTGTGGGGCGGATTGCTGAGGCCGCTGGCGCTTCGGGGATAAACATCACAGACAGCACCGAAATTCACCCAGCTTTCGTTACCATTTGCCCGCACGGGCATTCCGACTTGCGGTCTGCCGCACTGTCCATGCGGCATGCACCCGGAATGCCGGGTGCGGCATGCACCCGGAATGCCGGGTCCATTCCGGGTGCATGCCCGGAATGGATGCGATTCGCGTGGAGCCCGCAGGCGGTGCTGACGATTCCGCCGGTGCAAGCTTAGCTCTCACACCATCAGCACTGCTGCAACAAAGCACATCTCCCATCGCGTTGACACTACCCATCAATTGTCACACTTGCCACCCTTGCTACCGGCCTGTACGGATGCAGAGGGGCCCCGCCCTTTTTCCGGCTTCCTTGAAGCCGACACCCAACTTGTCGCGTTATGATTGGATTTCCGTTGTTATGTGCTTTCGTAGTCCGAGACTCGGACTGTAGTTTTGTGGTCTGCCGTTGCGATTGAGCAAGGATACAAATAATGTAAATCGTGTTATCCATCGAGACGCTTCCAACTAATTTTTTTTGTTTGTGTTACAAGCTTCTAGCTTGTACGGTCCAAACGAGCCAAGAGGCTCATGAACCGCCGAACTGGAAACGAAAACATATAAAGGTAGTAAATTAACCTTACTGTTAAAACATATTTTTATTATTTTCATTTTACAACTTACAACCGATACCATTAGCCATAGTGCCTTGCTTTTTTAAGTTAGTCCCTTGCAACGTTACATCTCTTTCCTTTTATTATGTACAGGTGCACCATGAACAGCTTTCATTCCTTTTTGCTTAACCTTGATAAGGCCTCCTTCAGCTGCTAGCTTCTTAAACTCCAAATTCGGAAAGGTATCACTTGATTGTTTGAATCCAAGCTTACCGTGCCGACCGACTGGTTCAATGGTGGTGTCCTGTTCAGGGGCTATTGGCAGAGCAAACGGCAACAAAATGCTGGTGACGACTTGCAAATGTAGGTGCAAGCTGGTGCCAGGTACTAGTAGTGCTCAGGAAACCGCCTCCTCACTAGATCAATACACATTAGTTTTGGTCCGCTGTCAATTGGTTGTATGAATAATGCGAGCACAACACATATTTACCTATCCACAAACATACATACATAGGGCAGGCGGTTGGCAGAGGGGCCCTAAGGCCTGACTTCTGCTCCCTGAGTATCCGGGTTCAAAACCGTCTACCGTCCTCCCGGGTGTGAGAGAGGGGTCGAAATGGTAGGCGGCCCCCCATGTTATGGTCAGTGTAGGACGAGATACTCAACTTGCGAGCTGACCTGGAACTAAGTTGAGGCGCAGTTGGTCCGCTGGATTTGGTTGGATGCTGGTGGTGAGTTGCTGAACCCAACGAATACATTCTGAGGTCGGATGGGGTGAGCGGATTAGGGTGCCCCTCTAGCAGGGGAGAGCAGGGAACTCCCTCGGGAAAGGGGGCCGCTGGTGAAGCTATACCACCCTGTAACAACGTACATACATCGAGACCTGTCAGGGTCGAAAATCCTTCCGATCGGTCATCCGAGGTTTAATTGTACCACGTATGTATGTATGGATCGCTTCCGCAACGAGGATTTTTACGCTCTGCTGCAGGAGGGAACATCGCAGCGCCTGGCAGATTACCAGCGGCACCTAGCAGCTCAGCACACCGCGGGCACGATAACCTACCGCCTGCCTGACATGGGCTCACTGTCGTCGTAAGATGCTGATCACACGGCTACGCGGAACGTGCCTGAACGGAACCGCTGATATATTTCATGGTACGGCAGGGATTCATGCACGCTCAGGCCTTAGCCTATCCGTTTCGCCATGTATTTGTATGAAGATTTCAGTTGATCTCTGCGTCTACACATCACGACGTACTTGATTTGTGTCCGTCGGTAAAGTAACCAGGTGCTCAATACTACTTGTAACTTTGGATGATATGCAGAGTATTGAGGGTTTTAGCTGTAGAGCAAGTCAACAGTAACGCGATCACTGCATTTATAGCTAAGCAAGGTAGAAACACAGACATTAGAACGTTTCGTCGAAATCTGCCCAGTCTGCCACACCTGCATACGACAAGTGCTTGTTGGAGAAAGCAAAGAAGGATGCATGATATGTATCGTTGATAGGTTAATAGTAGCGGATATTACAGCGCGCCCCAGACCCCAAGGGTGTTTTCCGGCAGGGAAGTAGGGCGGGCCATCGGACGACCGTGCACTGCTCTGCACTGGGAATACCCTAGAGTTTCGTGTCACGACAAATCAAGACCGCAGCTTCATGCGCACATCCGCCTGGGATTGTATCCGTACCAAGCAACGATAACGTACCTATGCTCCTGCTGTGTGGTACCAACCCAGCTACTCGCTAAACAACATGGTCCGGACCGATCAACACGGGAGGGTTCTCATGCAAGCAAGTGCGCGCACATCTGTAACGCAGACAAGCAATACAAACGCACGCACCCACCACGGCCCAATCAAAATTCTCATGACAGGCCTCGCAAAAATGGCGAAAACCGGCTCCAACAGCTGCTTTCTCCCATGGACGCAGCACACACCTCATCTGAAGCATAGACGCTAATCCTTCAATGTCCGACACGATCACATGCACATGCGCATATGCATGCCTATGCGAATGAATGGATCGCGTCGCAGCAGCAGCTGCTTACACCATGCATGCATGCATGTATATGCACCGTGTATGAGCTTCATACTGTGCCAGCCACACACAAGGCTGTCCTCAAGGGTTGCGGGGGCCGAAGTTTGTAGGAAATCCTCCTGCATTGCTGTATATCACAGAAGTGCGTGACAATTATGACGCGCTCCATCAAAGTTACCGGCAACACACACACACACACACACACATACACACACCGGCACAACCATGATGTACAACTATTTTTTCGAGTACCGGTGCAAGTCCAAAGAACAAGCTCGCCTAGATATTTACTATCTGCACAAGTGAGTAGTTGTTAGTCTAGTGCCTGCATGCACGTTCCCTCTCTTATGCAGCGGGCAACACATCACATCATGCGTTTCCTTGCATGGTTCATAATTGACACGCCCTAGCTATTTATAGGCGAAATGCCTACACTTCATCTCTGCTGATGCACGGATTGACGTCCAGGTCATATAGATCTTATATATGTCGAACATATTTCGGCCAACTACACAACATCTGCAGACTGTAAAGCATCATGTATCATCTATCTACAGTTCACTCTTCTCCGCACCGCTGTCGGTTGCCGAGCTGATGACTGCCTCGGCTGCCGTCGTCTCCAGAGCAGCTGGAGGCGCGCCAGGCACTCGATAGGTGAGAACACCTTTACGGCTCTGCGTCTGCAAACGCTGCATGTAGGCCTGCAGACCGCTTTTAGTGCTCTGTCCGTGGGGGCACACGTTGGGGATGTGTTCGGAAAGGGATTAACATGTTGCTCGATTTCAAATAAAAGCCTAGGCAGCTTTTAGTCATATAGATCGTCCGTCATCAAATCAATGATCATGTGGATATCGGATATATGATGTGTGGGACAGGGGGGCATATCTTCACCCGTGGCCGCTACCCGGCGAAACCCTGCCTTCCCCGGTATTTCGGGGCACCCTCATCTAGTCACCCTAGTCAACATCTCAGTGAATTGTTCAGGTTCCGCACCCATCACCCGCATCAAACGGAATCTGCTGGATCGACGGTGGCCCAACTCCAGTCCTGGACGGCTCGCAGGATATAGATGCATGGCATATTTAGGCGCGAAAACAGTCTCCACATACATGTGGGTATGTATGCTTAACATACGCGCCTACAAATACATACACATGCGGATAAGGCACGTATGCACGTCCACGTGCATTCCTGTACACGGGCGCACCTGGCCTGGTCGGAACACGGACTCGAACCAGGCGACAGCCATCGTACGGGCTTCGGAAATGACGTCCTACGCGGTCGACAGAAGCAAAAGTACGTAACGAGGTAATTGGCAGTATAGTAGGGAGGGAGGAAAGGGGAGGCACAAAGGGGAGGCACGAAGGCCAATTCCGCAGACATTCAAGTCATCAAAATGGACCCTGAAGCTACATAGGAAATTAGGTAGCTTGGGTAGCTGTAACTCAATCCATTAATTCATCAGCATCAGCATCAGTCGCCCAAGGAGCATTTCCAATCTAGGAGGGTCGACCTCCCCTAGCCCGTACAGGAACCATCATGCTAACGTTCGTATGATGACACTGCATGCACGGTTGCATGGCTGTGAGGCTGCTTGGCGACCCGAGGGTTTGGTGACCACATACTGGGTACCTGCCTACCGGGCTTGCAGATGGCAAGAATGGTCATGTGGACGCAGGCGGAACGTTTCAAAAGCACTCACTGTTTGGCGATAGCTGTAAACGTGTAAATTATCCCACAGACACACATATGCCGTGTTCGTACCGCGTTACTGATTTTGTCAACAAGAGATCCGCACGAGATCTTGTATAACTCGTAGAAGACATCCCAGGTGGATTCAGCGAACTGCATGTGGCCAGCCTGCATGGGCACAACCACAACTCCTTGTTGATGAATCCGTCCAAGCACGCATATATAACGAACTGGAGACATATAAAGGTGGCTATGTGCTTATCCTACAGGGCGTATCACGGGATTCTGACATCTGCTGATCGGTACGTTTTGGGCGGGGCCCCAGCGTGAAGCGCCCAGGGGGTCCCCGACCTGTAGGATTGCCCATGTCCGTGTGTGTGTGTGTGTGTGTGTGTATGTGTGTGTGTGTGTAACGGACCAAGCATAAAATCTCACCCGGCAGAAACGCGTTATATGTACTATATAGCATTCTCTATCGCAAGGTATCTCGCCTGTAGCAAACAAAAATCGTATGAGCACAAACAAGTTTGGCTGCCTCAATTGACCGAGGCCAAAGTCACATCGGCCCTGCCGATGACTGGCCCGCGAGGTCCTCCTCCACTGGGTGCATGTCCGCGGCAGAAGCAGTTGTTTCACCATGCTTCAATCCTTCCATTGCCTTCATCAGGGCAGTCCAAAAGCGGAACGACAGCGCCGGCAGGCATCAGCAGAACGATGTCAGTGGGACCATCAGCACCCTGAATCTCATG